ACCTGGCAGCTTGCTTTCTGGGGCTGGCAGGTGGTGTGGTGGTTAAGGGCACTGGGCTCCCACATGGCCAACTGCAGTTCATGACCCGGACCTGGTAGCTTACTTTCTCACTTTCCCTCTCTGTCCTTCTCTGTACGAATTAAAAATAAATAAATAAGTAAATAAAATTAAATAATTTTTTTAAAAGTAAGATAAACTCAGATATCAGAAAAGGAAATCCTGTCTTTTAAAAATATTATCATTATCATTTTTCCCTGACATAGCATTGAATCACATAGAATACCCATAAGATGTTGACAAGACTTAAATATGAATATAAAATATTCTACATAGAAAGATTTGGGGCCAGCTCAATAACCTAGTGGTTAAGGGAGCTGGATTGCACATGGCTAATTGTGACTTAAGTCCTGGCCGTGTTGGTTTGAAAAACATGCTGTGTGTGTGTGTGTGTGTGTGTGTGTGTGTGCACGCACACACTAAAATCTTGATGGACTAGAGAAATGAAAGTGAAGGGATTATAATATGACCACACCCCATTGGAGATGCTTTGTCCCTCTCTGTCTTTTTTTCTTTCTACTTTTCTGTCTCTCTCTGGCAAGTGCACATATACTCTGACCAATAAATAAATAAATAAATAAATAATAAAATTAATATACATATAGGTATAGATTATTTATAGGAACTTTTCCAGTTATTATCTTCAGAAACCATTTTCTTGAGAAAGGATATTTGCAACCTATATATGTGAAATGATAGAATTTATGATTTCCATGAAATTTTTCCATTTAACCGAGAAAGGGGTTCTCTGATTTCTCAAGTTGGTCTTTAGAATTGTTGGTTAATAACCTAGAAATATGTCCTGAAGAGTGGCATTATGGTTCTGCCCAAAAAAGCCAGGAAAGATTAAAGTGATGAACTTGATCATAGAATAGCATGCCTTTGTAGAAATGGGTACCCAGAGCAATGTGGTGGGAAAAAATATGACCACCTGCATCACAGCCCTGCCACTTGCATTCATTACAGAGGAGCCTGGTGTTGCAACTAGATTGCTTGCATTTTCTGGGATATCTTTAAAGTTTATTTATTTCTTCCATGAGTGAAAGAAAGAAAAGAAGGAGAAAAAGACAGAGAAAGTGAAAGAAAAACAGAATGAAAGAAAGAAAGAAAGAATGAATGAATGAATGAGGAAAGGAAGGGAGAGGGGAAGAAAGGAGGAAGGGAAGGAAGAGAAGAGAGAGAAAGAGAAGGGAAGGGAACGGAAGGGAAGGGAGGGAAGAAACAAAAAGATCTCCAACAGGGTCTTCATCCTGTGATCCAAATCTAGTCCCACCGGGCCTGGATCACAGGTATGCCTGGCACATTCAGCTCCCAGGACATGAGATTTACACCTTTCCCATGTGGGTTCAGTTTTGCTACCACTGTGCCAAGGCCTGACCCCTGAGATATCCCAAACACCTCTCTATACACAACACTGTAGTAAGGATATAGGAAAATCCCCCGACCCGCCCTAAGTTATTGAACATTTAGCAGCCAATGAGACAAATTATTAATACATATACAACTCCAAGAGTTTCTTTCTATCAAAATGTAAAACACAAAAATTTAAATATTTTTTCTTTTTTTTTTTTTTGTCAAATTAAGAGCACCATTTTTTATGTTCTGAGAAGTTACTAGGTAATATATAAGAAAAAACTCTCTTTGGGTATTTACTGGATTAAAAAGAGTGAAATGAGCTTCTTTGATTCAAGGCTTCTAAAAATAAGCCAAAGTGCTTTGGGAAAGTCCATGAACAGAGTGTATATGTAGTAGTTTCCCTGCAGGTTTCATCTTAGGTCTCTTTTTCAAGGACTAGTTTGTGGGTCTGGTGCTTTGCTTGTCATCTTTTTTTGTCAACGAATCCCTGGTCCCTAGCATGAAGCTTAACATTAGGAGATAGTGGAATAAAGTAATGAATTTACTGATTGCTACTGACCTGCCAAAGATCCATCAGCCCTTTTCAGAACAATAGAATGCACTGTGTGTGACTCTTTTGTCCTCTGTGCTATGGGCTGCTGACTGCTTAAGTCTGTACCAACTTGAGTTGTTTATGTTTCTCTTTAACTAGACAAGCGCAGAGGGGCATCAGAAGGCATTCTGCTCTTGCCTGGTCTAGTTTTTCCATCCTTGCCCTCTTCCTCCAGTCATCTTCTAGGTTCCCCCTCTGCCTTCTGTGGGGAGCTGACAAATGTAACTATATCAGCCAAAAGCGAGGGTGAATGTTCCAGTGTGCACAGAGTCACTTCTCAGCAGAACAAGAGGGAGGCCAGGCCGCCCAGGCTGTGTGGGTCAAAAGACAGCCACTGAGCAATGCAGGGCCAAGCAGAAAGCTTCCCTTTTATGTGCACTTTGTTTGACCTGTAGATAAACAAAGACTTTCTATTTCTAGAAATCCCATTGTTTCCAACTGCTAGAGTTTCTTTTTCAAACTTAAAAACTGATGTCTTTATGCAAGGCATTGAAAGTTCTGTGGGCACAGTCTTTACCATTTTTGTTCCTTTTCTATATTCTTCTTGTATATTTTTTTGCTCCTGTATGTCCCAAACCCTTAGCTATCTGAAAGTCAGCATTTCCTTCAATAATGTATCACATTAAAAACAGCTATAAGGTAGAAGTGTGAATAAAATATTTAATATGGTCGAAAACTTAAAATAATTAACCTCTTAAGGAAAATGATTAGAGCATGTGATCCTCCTTTCTCATTCAGTAGGTAAATGCTAGGGCCCTTGCACACAGAATAAAATAAATGGTTTTTCAGTCCCTATCCTTAAGGAGATTCGGAATACAGGTAGGTAAATAATATTTACGGAATACTTGCTATGTCCCTGGCTATCTCTCCATATCCATAACAATATATCGACTCATAACAATATCATAAGGTAAGTGTTATTTCCCAGGAAGCTGAAGATCAGAGAAGTTAGGTAACTTCTTAGGTTCACGTATTTAAACTAAATTCTTCACAAGATACAGTGATAATATTCACAGAAAGTGGGATTCTTTTATTTAAACAAAATTCTTCCAATGACAGTGTATAATATTGGAGAGATTTGTACAAACAAAGAATTCCACAGAGCTTCTGAATATTCCGGTAAGTTTAAAAAGAAATAAGCGTCATCAGTTGGTGTAATGGCTATGTTGCTAGACTCCCATGTAGTCGACCACAGTTCAAATCCCGGACCTGGTGGCTTAAACTCACACTGGGTACGTGCACGTGTATTCCCAAGATCCTGAGAAGAGAATGCAGGAGAAGGGATCACCGCATGGTCATTCCCCCTGGGGAGTGATTTCTCGCTTTCTGTCTTTCTTTCTCTGTCTTTCTGAGGAGCGCATGTACCCTATAGCAAAACCTTTCCGAAGGAAGGGAGGGAGGGAGGGAGGGAGGAGGAAGAGAAGAGAAGAGAAGAGAAGAGAAGAGAAGAGAAGAGAAGAGAAGAGAAGAGAAGAGAAGAGAAGAGAAGAGAAGAGAGGAGAGGAGAGGAGAGGAGAGGAGAGGAGAGGAGAGGAGAGGAGAGGAGAGGGAAGGGAAGGGAAGGGAAGGGAAGGGAAGGGAAGGGAAGGGAAGGGAAAGCAAGCAAGCTACCTTTCTTATCTTCTGGAGTGTGCTGCTTTTTTATTTTTCCTTAAAGAATTATTTTATTTAACTTTATTTATTTATTTTAATTTGACCAGAGAGGGACAGAATGAGAGAGAGAGAAAAAAAAAAAAAAAAAGAGGGGGGGGAGTGAGAAAGCAAGCCACCAGGTCTAGGACTCGAACCACAGTCAGCCATGTGGGAGTCCAGCACCTTCATGCCACCTGCTGGCTCCTGGAGCGTGCTTCTATCCATTTGATCCTGGGTTATATTTCTCAGAGGCTCTATTCCTTCATAATAAAATCCTCTTCACTTCCATCACAAATTTTAAGTAGAGGAGTAAATAATTATTGAATTATGTGAGCATGAAACTGCCATCCCATGTAAATGTAAGATGTGGTCATGACAAATGAATTCTGAATAAGAATGCTTGTGATGATTTTGATGTGCATGTAATATACCTCTAATTTTATTAAAGGTCTTCTTCTAATGAATTTAGTTTCGATTTGTAAAGGAAGGGTGAAAAGTAATCCTTTCTAAAAATGATAATGTGATTCAACCAAACTTTAAAAAATGTTTTAAATTATATGAGATATATGTGGAAAATATTAATAACTATATATAGGGCACTCACCATATATAGTATTAGGTATAGTTAGCATAAAGAACATTCACGAAATACAAGGCATGATCTCTGCCCTTGAGGGGTGTAACACAAACAAATATATTTTTCTCTTTATTCTATTTATCCAAACTATTATGCTATAGAAAACCTTAAATTTTAATGTAGTAAATTTATTCTTTGAACATTTGAATTTATTTCTGTTTCTTTACTCAACACAAATGCTCTAAACTTTGATGGTATAAGACTAGATTTCAAAATAAAAGAATGAAGGGTCAGCAAGTGGCATAGAGGTTACATGGCTGACTTCACCTTGAGTCCCAGACCAAGTGGCTTGAAAATCACACTGAACACATGTGCATGCATGTCCAAAATCATGAGAGAAGACAAAAAGAGACGGGATTGCAGCATGGCCATTCCCTCAGGAGGAGGTTTTTCTCTTTATCTGTCTGTCTCTCTCTCTCTCTCTCTCTCTCTCTCTCTCTCATGAGTGTACTACACCCTGTAGCTAAACAAGTGAAAACTTGCAAATTTATTTTTCAATATATCCAAATTAATATATTTTTAAAGGACTAAATCCTTCATGAGTTAACTAGTGACTGAATTCTTTGGCATATGTAAGGAAATTAGAAATTTTTATTTCCAAATATTGACTTTCACATCTTGAACACTTATTTTTTAAATTTTTCTGAGTTATGAAGTCAATATGTTTACATGGGAGACAGTCAATAAAATGATGTGCTTTTAAGACTTTTCTTTGTTTCTCTCTAGTGGATGATACCGTGGTTGCCATTCCCTATGGAAGTAGACATATTCGCCTTGTCTTAAAAGGACCTGATCACTTGTGTAAGTAAACTCCATTGTCTTACTTTAGAAAGTAAGGATTGAGGATTTTAGTTGGTAGTATTTATATTTTGTTCCCAGAAGAGATTAAAGCACAAGAGTACAAATCTTTCTACTCTATTATAATACGATATTTTGAGTGCTTCTGTTTATCTTTTTGGCTGCCTGATGAGATGGCAGAAACGTCTGTGGTAAGTATCTCTAACCACAGTCATCCTGAAAAATACAAACTAGATGCTCCCAGTAGGTTATTCATGGGTTAAGCACATGTTTATACTTTTGTGAATACTGTATCTCATACTCTTTCTTCTCCAATCAATCTTACTCTTTTTCTTGCCTCCCCTCTCCTTTTTCCTTCTTCCTTCCAACCCACACTCTCTTTCATCCTTTCCTTTGCCTCCTACTTTCACGTCTCATTACTTTGTCTATTCAAAGGACTACACAAATACCAAAAATCTTAACATTTTTACATTTAAAGAAAGTTTTCATGGTACAATTAAGCACTCCACATATTAAAGACAGTTCAGAGTCCTCATATATTCAGTTAGGTAACTACTGAGATTCAAGAATGAAAAATTATCATAACCTCAAAAATTACATGGTGGCATGTCCTCATCCAGGGTTTGTGCAGGAATTGATTTAGTCATGGCAAGGTAGCAATACACAGCCACATTATTTTTATTACTATTTAGTACTACTTGGCTGTATACTTGAAAATTATAAGCAGAATGTTTTAGCTATGAACAAAGGAGAGAGTGGGAGAGGATACGCTAGCATTTTTGGTAAAATTCCGTTTCATGGAAAGGCTTGGTCCCTTGAGCATGTTTCATCTCCTCCACTCTGACTGTTCCTGGGTTCCCACAAAGCCGTTTATCATATTCTGCTCTTTCTCCTCCCCCACACACATGCCTATGAAACCAATTTAGGTAGCAAGCATTAAGTTTTGGCAATTGGATTGTGAATTAGATTATGCCAGAAAGATAAGAGAAAGACAACTTGTACATTGTAAAAATTAATATAGCCTTCTGTAGTCTTTCTAAAAATAAAAATAGATATATTTCATGGAAGAGGCAGGATCTGAAAGATCACATGAAGTAGAGGAAGAAGTAAGGTACAGTTTAGATAAAACCAAAAAATTCTGCTTAATGGGAACCAACAGTTAGCATAATGGCTATGTTGCTGGACTCCCACGTAGTCGACCATGGTTCACATCCTGGACCCAGTGACTTAAACTCACGCCAGGCACGTGTGCATTCGTGCCCAAGATCCCAAGAGGAGAATGGAGGAGAAGGGATTGTGGCATGACCATCCCCTCTGGGGTATGATTTCTCGCTTTCTGTCTCTCTGTCTCTCTCTCTCTGGTTGGCGAGTGCACGTACCCTATAGCAAAAACCTCTCAAAAAAAAATGCTGCTTAATCACCATATATGGATCTAAGTTGTTTTCTAACTTTGAACAACATAAAACATAGTGTTTTCATGTTAAAAGATAACAGGTGTATGCACTATTACCATTCACACTATTACTTTTCTCAAAACTGGACAGAACTAACTGCTGGTGTAACATCCCTACTGAAAAACAGTATTTCTGTGGACAGTGACAGAGACCAAAATAAAATATTGAGGCTAAGCTCAGCAATTGAACTCACAGCAGTAGATTAAGGAGGGACTTTTATTTTTATAAATGTATTAGTCTCCCAGGTAATTATGTAATCACTAACAAACTGAAAAATGAGCCTTATTTGGTTTAATCATCCTAAGGATTTGATAAAGAGAAACCCAAAATCTGGTTTTTTTCCCCCATAAACATACTCTAGGTAATGTAAGTGTAGCTAGGGAATTTTTGCTTTGTTTTGTATTGGGATATTATTGAGCAAAACCAATATAAGATAAAATGTTACGTTGTTTCTCCTGCAGTTCAGTTGTCCTTAACCAGAAGGGGATCCAGTATGGGATCAACCTTAAATATTTAGGGCTAAACCAGAAAAAGAATGGGTGATCTGGTACATCCCCAGGTCTTCTTTAATCAGAAGTACCTTGAGAAGAATAGCTGGGAGGCTTTTGATAAAAATTGAATCAGATGCCGAGTGGTAGTTAAGGACGCTGGGCTCCCACATGGCCAACCATGGTTTGAGTCCCAGACCTAGCGGCTTGCTTTCTCACCTTATCCCTCTTATTTCTCTCTCGCTCTGTCCCTCTCTGGTCAAATTTTAAAAATAAGTAAGTAAATAAACACAGTTAAATAAAATAGTTCTTTTAAAAAATTGCATCAGATACTCCTGTCAGGTCTAGACCACCATGATTTTTCCTAAACTAAGTTAATTTGTATCCTAGAGATAATTCTGCAAGTGACTATAAGGCAGCTTGAGTAATGATTCAGGAGGAAAGAGATTCAGGGCTGTTGCTTTCCCCGACAACAACTGTGATTTCCTCAACTCCAGTGTTTCCCTGATGTGCCCGGTGTCCATCCATGGAGTCCTCTCAGCACTGGGCCAAAGGAGTAAAACCTGCCCTACTCTAGAGGGCTCTGCATACTTCATCTGAAAATCACTGGGCATTTAATAAAACAACAGCGTTTTCCATCTGTTGATGATCTTTGTGGTAGAGAACTAGAAGTAGACCACATCTAGAATAAGAAAGTACAAATTATTTTGACACATTAAGACTGTCTTTAACCTAGAACTCCAACCTATAAAATGTGAGTGGAAGCATTCTGAAGACTCAGAGTTTCAGCCAAGCACTCATATTTCTGCTGAAGAATCACTGCCAAGGCTAAGAGTTCTTGTGCAAGTTTTGGAAACCATAACCATCTTCCTCCATGTAGCAGACAATTATTCTTGATCATTTCGCATCATGAGGACTTAGTCTGCTCTGAAACACATCAGATTTGCCATTAGCCCCAGCGCAATCTGATTTCCTACAACTAAAATGCTTCAGAGGCTTTGTCATTGGCTGCATTCATATTTGAGTACTCCAGGATTCAAGTTCTTTTTGTCATAAGCACCTATGAAATGCCACATTTCTGTATAAAGTCAAATTAAATTTTAAAAAAAGATTTTAAAAAGAGAAAGAGTTAAAAAAGAATAGCTTCTGTCCTTAAGCCACTATGGTTTATAATTTTGAGAAGTGGCACATACACAGTAAGCAACCAAAAAGCAGAAACAAACCCAAGTTAATGTATTAATATAAAATCACATAGGTACTGTGGCAACTTAGAAGTACAAGCTGTATCTCATAGAGAAAACAGCAACAAAACTGGAGAGTATCCAGGCTAAGGGCTATCAAGACTAAAATCAATAAGCTCTATATAGGACATGGTTGAGTCAAAGGAACAAAGTTGGAGCATAGTGAGAATATAATAGATGGCTTTGTGGGAACCCAGGGACAGAGTGGAGGAGATGAAAAATGCTCAAGGGACCAAGCCTTCCCAGATTAAATCATTTGGAGAGTCAAAGACTTTTTGACAGGGAGCCTTGATTGCTCAGCTAATGAGTTTTAGAATAGCTTCATTTACAGTCTAAACCCCTGTGTGATCCAGCAGTGTCCATTGCAGTGCTTTTGTTTATATCACAAGTTCAGTTGTGTCAGCCATATAGAGAATGGTGCTTCTCCCTTACATAGCTCTAAACTTTGTTGCATGAAATGTGCTTGCATGTGATCTGGCAGCCCTAGGAATGTCTTTCTTTCCTCTTCATGTGTTTTGACTGTGTAGATCTGGAAACCAAAACTCTCCAGGGGGCTAAAGGTGAAAACAGCCTCAGTTCTACAGGCACCTTTCTTGTGGACAATTCTAGTGTGGACTTCCAGAAATTTCCAGACAAAGAGATACTGAGAATGGCTGGACCACTGACCGCAGATTTCATTGTCAAGGTGAGCCTATTTAGGTACCTTATTTTCAAGCCCCATCCAAACTGTTGTTGTTTATAATATCCTAAGGCAAGAGAGAGAGAGACCTCAGATTATTTATTTATCTATTTAATGGAGCAGGGGGAGTGCCAACAGAGGCTTCATGCTACAATCTGCCCGCATTCTCAGCCAGACTGGATCATGAGCATGCACATGCATACCTGGTGTGCCCAGGGAGGACCAGGACATGAACTCAAGACATTGCCCATGTAAATGCAGTTGTGTCACCATTGCACCATCACCTAACTCAAGAGACTTTAAGCTTTGACATATATTTGGAAAGCCTGGTTGTTATCCAGGCAATGTTTAATTCAAGAATGATGAACTAGCTATATCATGGAAGTTATAAGAGCTTGACATTTTTAAAGTAATAGGAAAATCTTTATATATTTTATCAATAAAATGACCCCACCTAAGAAGCCAACATATCATTCATTGGGGAGTATAAATTGTTTTTAAAACAATTAGCATATAGTCACTGATTCATGTAGGGCATCCTCAATAAAAGAGAAATACAAACTGATGATCCATAAATTTGGTCAAGTAATCATGCTTCCAATGGCAAGTTCTTTTCTCCTTGTATTGGCAACAAGACTAAGTTGTTTCCTTCTATCAGAGTTTCCTCACTCTTCAAGGTAATATAAAACACATTGCTGGAAGCAACATGCACATTCTGTTGGAAAAATGCACACACTAGAAGAACATTTGGGAATCACAATAAAATAAAACATATTTTTCCTTCAGTAGGTCAGGAGGACCTGAAGGATTTCAGCTGTAAAGCTGTAAAAGTTGTAATGTGTCCAGGACTCTATAAATTTTTCATCATGGGACCTAGAGCCAGAGGACATTTGATTTAAACTAAGACTTGATGACCCCATGGCAGCTGGAAGTAAGAATGCATATAGGAAAATATGATAGGCAGTGAGGTTGGATGGAAGAAGAGTTCCAGAATGTTGTCCTTTCTCCATCTGCATGGTAGCTCTTTCTAATCTAGTCCACAATCCAGCTACATAGCAAGAAGCTACACGAACTTGACTAGCTCCAGAAATCTATTTTATCTTCATTTTTATCTTACGGACTAATGCATTATCTAGTTAAGCAAGTAAGAAACCTTTGATTCACCCTGATTTCCTCTTCTCATATACGCCCCCAGTTAACATTAAACTTTATCAGTCTGTCTCCCTACCATTGTTCTTTCTCCTCCATCCTTGTTGCCACTATCTTTAGGTCTTTGCATTTTCTCACCTGAACGAAAGACCATGGACTTTAATTTTCCAGCCTCTGATTCATCATCTGTGTTCTCTTCAGAGTGAGTTCTCTAAAACCATAATCCCCCTTCTTATAGTATTGTATAGCCCCCTTCACCGCCATTGATTGCTTTGAGGTTAAAATGCAAATCCATAGTATAGCATCTTGACCGTCTGAATTTTATTTTCCTTTCCAACCTCACCTTCCACCTTTCCCCTCCTATTTCAGCCAACTCAGTGACTCACAGGTCTTCACAACATCTTACATTCTCCCAACTTCTTACTTTTACATAATGCTGTGTCCTCTACCTGGAATGCTCTTATCTTTTCTTCTTCCATTCTTTACACAAATTCTTCTTCATCTTCAGGTTTTCCTCTTTCCAGAAACTTTCTGGGACTTCATCCCCACATTTCTGTCCATATTATCTCTCTCCACTCTGTGTTTCTTGAGGAAAGGGACAAAATTTTATTCATCTTTCTATGTCCATAATAACCCAGTGAAAACTAATAAGTGCCTGAGAAGTGAAGTTTTACCACACAGCAATTGTTTACATGGAGCAGATGATGACATCCCTATTCTACCCACAAGAAAACTTAGCTTCAGGAAGCGCAGTGGCTTGCCCACATTCACACTGATGGTAAACCAGGGCTGAAAATCACATCTCTTTACTTCTGACCTATACCTCTGTTCAGCATTCTATATGGCTCCTAAAAGTATATTTTTTTCTTCTAAGGTTTCATTAGAAAACTGAGATCGAGTAAATATAAAGTTACCACTCTAAGACAGCTTATTAATTTTTAAATCAATTTATTCTAATTTAAAAATAAGCCAGATAATTGAAGAAGATACAGGGGAAAAAAAAAAAGAAGAAAACTACCTTTTTTTCCAGTGAGTCATATGAAACTTTTCTTCCCTAACTTTCTTCAAGAAAATAGCTAAAAATAAATATTACCATTTGATTAGTTATTATTTATTATGATTTAGGTATTAAAAACTGTACACATAGTATATAATTTCTTTTATTTTTTTTTCCATTTGTCTGTTTGTTTTTAGAGAGATTTTTGCTATAGGGCACTTGTGCTCACTGGAGATACAGAAAGAGACAGAGGGACAGATAACATAATATCACTCCCGGGGGAGGGGGGGGGATGGCCACACTGAAGTCCCTTCTCCTCCATACTCCTCTCAAGATTTTGGGTATGCACATGCATGTGCCCAGCGTGAATTTTAAGCTACCGGGTTGAGGACTCAGACAACGGTGGACTACATGGGAGTCCAGCAACATAACCATTATGCCACCTGCTGATCCCTGTAACTCAGTTTTTAGTATCGTTCAAAGTATAGTCTCTTTCAAATTATAGATTAATTAAATGAGTAATCAAATTCTTTTTATATTTTTTAAATAATTATTTATTTTATTTTATTTATTCATTTATTTTTTAATTTGACCAGAGAGAGACAGAGGTTGAGAGTGAGAGAGAGAGGAAGTGAGAAAGCAAGCCACCAGATTCAGGACTTGAACCCTGGTTGGCCATGTGGGAGTGTCCACCGCCTTAACCACCACGCCATCTGCTGGTCCCATATTCTCTTCATATGTTTAAAAGCCAGTATATCCAAGTCTCGAACCAATCTCATATTCATAAACTTTATTAGAGACACTGAAGTCCTTCTCAGTCAGTAAAACAGCACCATCTGTTCTGATGGGGCAATTACCTGAGTGACTTGGTAGTACAGTCAGGTGATTCAGAAAGTGGCTATGAGCATCTAATTCCTCAAAGAGAGCTGTACATCTGCTACTTGAAAAGTTTAAAAAAAAAAAAAAAAGGCAGGATTTTGAGATATAGCCATCTCTCTTAAATTACCTGATAAAAATTAGTTCTCTACATTTATTTTCTAATAAATCAATTAATTTCTAATTGAAAAAATCATGTATATTCATTGTGTCAAACATGTTTTGAGAAATGTATACATAGTGGAATAGCAAAATTAGCTAATTAACATTATTTATCATATACTTTTTTTTGAGAGGTTTTTGCTATAGTGCGCATACACTCGCCAGAAAGAGAGAGACAGAGAGAGACAGAAAGCGAGAAATCAACCCCCCCCCCAGGGGGATGGCTATGCCGCAATCCCTTCTCCTCCATTCTCTTCTCAGGATCTTGGGCACACACACACATGCGCCCGGTGTGAGTTTAAGCCACCAGGTCTGGGACTCGAACCACAGTCGATTACACGGGAGTCCAGCGACATAGCCATTATGCCAACTGTTGGTCCATATACTTATTTTTTTATGGTAATAAAACTCAAAATTTATCTCAGCAATTTTCAATAATGCAATATATTGTTATTAACTATAATCACCATGTCATATAGTAGATCTCTTGAACTTATTCCTCCTAACTAACTGAAATTTTGAACACTTTGACTAATATCTCCCTCAAAGACTTCCACCCCACCCCCAGCGCCCAATAACAACCATTCTACTCTCTGCTTCTGTGAATTCAACTTTTTTAGAGTCCACATTTAAGTGAGCTAATGCAATATTTGTCTTTCTGTTTCTAGCTTATTGAACTTAACATAATGTCCTCCAGGTTCATCCATGTTAGCACAAATAACAGGATTTTGTCTTTATAAGGCTGACTAGTATTACATTACATACATATACCACATTTACTTCATCCATTGATCTATTGATGAAGATTTAAGTTGATTCCATATCTTTGCTGTTGTGAATAATGTTGCAATGAATAAGGGGAAAATATCTCTTTAGTGTATCCAGGAATGGGATTGCTGGATCATATGGTAGTTCTACTTTTAGTTCTATGAAAAATATCATTGGGATTTTGATTGATACTGCATTAAATATGTTGATTTCTTTGGGTAGTATGGACATTTTAATAATATTAACTCTTCCAATTCATGAACATGGAATATCTTTCCATTCGCGCGCGCGTGTATGTGTGTGTGTGTGTGTGTGTGTGTTCAATTTCCTTCATCATTGATTTGTAGGTTTTAGTGCACTGACCTTTCACCACATAGGTCAAATTTATTCCTAAGTATTTTACTATTTTTTGTAGCTATTATAGATGTGCTTCTTCTCTAAATAGTTGTTAGTGTATAGAAATGCTACTAATTTGGGGACCAGCAGATGACAGAATGGTTACATAGCTGGACTCCCACATAGTTAACTGCAGTTCAAGTCCTGGATCTGGTAGCTTAAAACACACATCAAGTACATGTGCATGTGTGTCCAAAATTCCAAAAGAAGAATGGAGGAGAAAGGATTGCAATGTGGCCATCCTCTTCTGGGAGGTGGGGGGAAGGCTAAGTAAATTTCTTACTTACTGTCTCTCTGTCTCTCCTGCAAGTGCACATACTTGATAGCAAAAATTTCTCTAAAAAGAAAAAAGAAATGCTACTGATTTTTTGTATGTTGATTTTATACCCTTCAACCTTATTGAATTTGCATATCAGTTTTAATAGTTTTTAAAATTATGTATTAATTTAAGCAGTATCTTTATTTTTAAATAAGATACACAGAAATCAGAATAGTGACATGTCAACATTGCCATAGAACTATATTGCCAAAATACCATTCTTTTCTTTAAAAGAAAAGTGTTGTTTGATAGAATGGGTATGTATTTTATGGTTTATTCTTTATTCTACTGCTTAGTAGGTATTTACCTTAAGTACATTTCTTTACCTCGTTGAGTCCATTTTATCATTTATAAAATGCTAATAAAATACTACCCCCTCCCAGTAGAACTTTTGTGAGGGATTAAATGAGTTAATGTATGCAAAAGTAGATAGAACCAAATTACCTCCTTCCCATTTTTTGGAAACCCTTTAACTTCCATTCAAACAAATCACAATATCCTGTCTATCTTTCTGAACCTCATTTTTATCATTGCAATAGTAATGTGGAAGATAATACAGAGTAGTTTTATTTTATTTAATAGAAATAAAATATACTGGGTTGTTGATAAAGTCATGCTATATTTTTCTGTGTATTTCTATGCAAAAATATGTCATGACTTTCCCAAAAACCCAATACTTTGTATGTGGTAAAAATGTAATTAGTGTTGGTGGTTGTGGTAGTTGCAATTATTATTAAAGACAGACTATGACTATAGAGAAAGGAAAAGTAGGAATGTTATCAGTATAGATGAAATCACGTAAGATTATGTGGCCATAGATCACAATTGGTTCTCTTGATATGAAATGAAGAGGTCTCTATTTCTTTCTGTTCTTTTTTCAGCTATTAAGGCATAAGACTTCAGAATTTATAATCATTATACAGAGTTTTATTGAACTCATTAGCAACAATATTCTTACCTAGCCCAGTGGCCGTAGCACAACAGTACACACCACTTTATGATCCTGAGGCCACGTGGAAGATCGTAGATCAGCTCCCAGGCTGATAGGTACATGACCTATGGGTAGGTGTGTGCCTGTGATCCTTTCTGAATGGGAAGGCTGGGTGGGGGATCTCAATGTGAGACTTGTTGAGGTTGCTTGTCTTTCTCTCTCAAGAAATAAATTTAGAACAAAATTCTTTCTAAACTATTTGGGTTCTTTTGATCAACATAATGTTTTCAAACCTTCCATTTTAAGACCATTTTGTCGTTTATTCTTTCCCCTTAGGGCATGATATGCTTATATTGGTATCTTCCAGGGAACTGAAAAAGAGACTTGCTCCACCCTTTTGGATTTTTAACCCAACCAAAAAAGCAATCACATACACTATATTGATACACTAAAACAAGGTTTCTCCAAATACACCATGTTCTATCCTCCTTACTTTGGTCGTAAAAAAACTGTGTTTTTTTCCTCCTACTTTTCCAGAACTCAGTTTAATTTCTCTTATTCCAAAAGCGACCTCTGCAAAAAGTAATCTATTTCTCTGGGTCTAATTTTCTGGTCTTTTATTTTTTCATATGATAGCTTTCCACTGGGATAAGCTGCATATCCCAAGAGAGCAAAAGGCTTTCGTGAGCTTTAAAAAAAATAAAATAAAAACTTTCCCGAGAATATGATTAATACTACATCCCTAAGCAAGCAATTAGGTACCCTATATGTGATACATAAGACTGAGAAATATTAATGTGTAGGCAGTGCCCTTTTTGTGAAAGACACTCTATTGCTTCAGCTGTTTTTATTTTAAAGTAGGGAATTGTATCACTGTTTATTCTAATTAGAAAAGACCACCGAATGCTCCATAGGTCAGAATCCCAATGTAATATGAGATGTTCTGTAGGTTTTCTCTCTTTCTTCTTTCTCCCTTCCAGCTCCCCCAGACTTTCTAAGGAACATTTTCATATTTCCATCTAAACTCCAAAAACTAAACTAGAGTTTAGGACCTATTTATTTTTCTTGGGATTGTTTCGTCAATATTCCTATATTCCCCTGCATCCTAGCTGTTGAATCCACTTGTCAAACTCAGTATCAGAGAAATACAGCAATCATTAAAATAATATGAAGCCCAAATTTGTCAGTTTACCATGTATAAAAGGGAAGTTGGGACAATGGTAAGGGTTGAAAACATTTAACAAAGACTTAAGCCACATGGTTCAGTAGCACCCTGATACTTATTGTAAGGTGGATGGAGTAAAAAGTAATCTTCTCAATTGCTTGGAACTTTCCTTAATATAATAAATAGTCCAAGCTTTGCCCACCAGTCTGAATGTTGTATGACATGCCATTCTGTCTTTGTGAATTAACTGTTATGTAGGTACTTTTCCCTTTTCTTTCAATGTAAGTATACTTTTCAGTCTTTGCTTTTAAGAACCATTACAGAATTATAATTATATATTCCATCTTTTTAAAAAAGGATCATAATTTCAAATACCATGTTTTATTTGAAAGTAATTGTGGTCATAATATGATAGTATTTTTCAGAACTTTGTTCTTGTTCTATCTAATTTGAATTGCCTTGATCTCTGGGCATGGACCCAGGAATTTGCATTTTAGCAAGCTTGCAATGGGTAATTTTGAACATTAAAATATGTGAATCACTAAATTGACAGGAAGCCCCATGTATGCCTCTTAATAAGAAGAGCTACTTAACTCTTGAACTCTTCTTTTTTCTTTAACCAAAGACAAGGCAAAGACATTTATCATTTTCTTAAAATAAATGATCTATTTCTAAACCTACATTGTAAAATTCACATTAATTTTATCAGTCAGAGAGACTGGAAATGAAGGAGGGGAAAGGATTAACTGGCTGGGATAAGTTTGTAGCAGATTCACAAATTAAGTCATTGTCTTGTTCTGTGACAACAAAGCAGAGGAGGTAATGATAGTGGGGACCTGTGCAAGGACTTTCTACTGGTTAGATGGTAAGGTAAATGGTGGTGCCTTTGCCACTTTCTCCTCACTATAGGCCATCACACAGCCTAAGAGCATCAGTCCTACCATCCATCCTTGTCCAACGTTGCAAGGAACCCAGAAAGTATCACCCTGTCACAATGGTTCTGTCAATAGTTTCCTATTGTCTCCTGCAGATCCATAACTCGGGGCCCACTGACAGCACCGTGCAGTTCATCTTCTATCAGCCTATCATACATCGATGGAGGGAGACAGATTTCTTTCCTTGCTCAGCAACCTGTGGAGGAGGTAATGATGTCCTTTTAGCCCAGAAACTTCTGCAAAGAAAGATTTGGGGATTTTAAGAGTAGAGTAAAATCAGAATGGAAGAAATTGAGTGTGGTGAACCAGCTCTTCCTGGATGGAACCAAATCCCAAAGCCTTCCCTGATGAAGACACCCCAACCTAGCTGCTCAGAAATGTACTTCTATCTGCATCTAACACTGTCTATTAGAGGAAATAGTCTTTACTTCTTGCCTTAACTTCACAGAAGGCCGGGACTAGAAATACCATAATTGGGCAGCAGTTTAGTCCTGAGGCACTTCCATTCATTTGCGTATAAACTGGTTGGAGCGAAATCATTTATGAAGAAATCAATTAAAGAGGCTTACTTAATTAGAGGAAAAAGTTTATGACTAGAAAAAGATAAATAATTGCATTTGAGACTCAGGCTCAATTATTTTTCAGCTCCACCCTGTTATCCATGCATTAAAAGAAATACAAATTCCTTTATTTATTCATTAAATTGCATCTTCCCAGAAAAGCCATGAGTTGTTGTCTCCGCTCTATCATATCTGTAACTTGAACCGTATTTTGTATTATAAGGTTTTTTTCTCCTTTTCTGCTTTTCTTAATTATAGTGGTTAAGTCACTTTGGATTATTTCACAAGACATTATCTAATCATTTCTGTGTTGCAGATCATTTCATTTATTTCAGCTTTTCTACTATTTTAACCTAATGATAACTTAATGCCTAAGTATTTTTCTCCTCTAAAATTATTTTCTTGGGAAAAATACTCAGAGGTGAGGTTACTAGATCAAGGAATTAAAGAATTTTTGTGGCTATTGGCATATACTATCAAATTCTTTCCAGAGGGTAACAAGTAGTGTGTGCATGTTTTAGATTCATTGCCAACCAAGCAAGTATTTGTGGACTATACTTTTGTAAATTTTTCTAATTTCATGGGTATAATTGATGTGTGTATACACACACACACACACACACACACACACACACATACATGGGTATATGTATATTCCTTCGAAAATTAGCACATCAAATGAATTCTAACTTTAGCTTTAGCTTCATGGAAACCAGTTAATTGACTGACTTTGAACAGTTAATCCCCATAGGCATCACTAGATAAACTTTAAAATATACAGGCCAGTACCTCATGATGGAAACAAATGCTTAACTACCAATTTTCATAAAGTAGTAAAAATGCATGATATAATTCATTCATAGTTGTATTAAATTTGTCTACAGAATGTGACACAGAAAATGTGATTCTGTAAAGCAATGTTGAGTCTTAGCTTAAGAGTAGTCATTCAAAATGCCATGAAGTACTTTTTCTCAGTTGTTAAATAACTTTTAGTTCAATATGTTTGGCATTCCAGCAGAATAGTTTCTAGTTGCTCTATGTGTCTTGAATAGAAAATTGCTTTATTAAAACTGCCAATTACTTGGAGGTTTCATGGGAAAACTTTATTTTGATATACCATTTAATGACTAGCACAAGAAATAGTTTCAAAGAAAGCAATCTAAGAAAATAATTTTTTTTCTTTTTTGCATTTTAAATAAAACCATGCTTCATGTGAAATAGCAACTCATATGTACATTATGCCAGTTTCATGAAGAGCTGCTGTGAGAATGTGATTTCAGTGACCTTGACTACAGCTTATTGTATAGTAAGGCTATTTTAAATTCATATATGTCCAACCATGCCTCACATTCCTCACATCTAAATGAAGTAGAACTATCAGTGGCTATCAGAGATTTTTTTTAGGTATCAAACCCTTTCCTCAAAGAAAATCTTACTAAGAAGCCCAGATGAAAGGAAAACTGTTTTGGGTGAAGATATAACAGATGTGGAGATCAGTCTTTCTCTCACTTCAAAGACGAGTTTGAAAATCAGTGAAGACGTGTGGTCTCTAATTCCCGTTTATGTTTCTGATTCCAGATTCAACTTGTTGGTCATTTTGCTAAGCAAAAAGAACTGCTATAGCAAACTGCATATAAAATTTTAGAAAACATGACTATCTGACCATTTTAGTTATTTCCTTTATTTTTATTTCGACCTTTCATTTCATACACTCTCTAATAGCGTCAGAGTAGCTGACAACTGATAATTTTGAAAATCATAATCTCAAATGTATTATTTACCTCATTGTTTGTGCCATGTTCTACTACATGATAAATCCTGTCCTTGAGTAGAAATGCTTATAATTCTTATATGGAAAACCATAAAATGATTAGCTTTGTCATAAGATTAGCTGCTGTAGATTTAATATAATTGCAAAGTAAACATACATTTGCTTATGTCAATATCATGCTGCTACTCGATTTTCTTATAAAACAAAAAATTAGATGGAACATGTGTTTTTCCCCATTGCTTTCATTACTTTCCATGCTTTTCATCTTTACAGTAGAATTTTAAAAGGCTTTTTTTTTAGCTCTTTAATGAACAATTAATTTTGGTGGGTGGTCTGAGAACATAGCCTGAAGCCAGGAAATCTGGTTTATAAGCCTCCTTCTGATTTCCTAAAATCTTTTGCAAGTCCCTTAACAATTTAAATCTTGCTTCCTAATTCATATTTAGCAGCAGTAGTTCTCAACCACCTGCCAGGGAGAATATATGTGGATGCTGGTTAGGGGGAGAATGATACAAACAGGCTGATTTTTAAAAAAATTCCCTATGCACATTAATTTTTGTTTATCACTGCAAGAATGCCAGTCTTGATCACCACCCCACCAGAAATCAACAGGACGATAAAGAGGCAGGTAGAAAAAATAAACCAAATTACCAACAGTAATTACTGGTTTATCAGTGAGAGTTTTTTTTTAAAAAAGAGGTTTCTCCAAACAGTAAAAATTTGAGGATTGGGGGCTAAGAAATATTGGTGAGAGACTTAAAGAGCAGTAACAAAAGATATTAGGGAGGTTGTTTTGTTTTGTTTTATTTTGTTAGTTCTGTAGGTAAATGTAGTGATTCCTGGTGAGTACTATTGGAAACTTAATTGCCCATTTACTCAGTTCAATACATTTAGGTTTAATTTGGGCAAAATTGAACTGGCAACTGGTGGGACTTGACCTTCCTCTATACTTCATAGGCCATCATGAATAGGGGCAATGTTGAATATATTTTATTGATACTTATTTGGGAAATTATTCTCTCTAGTTCTCCAGATACTAAGGATACAATTTAGTATCCTTATATAAGATGGTTGGTAGATAAATACTGATGGCTTCTTCTTTTTCTTTTTCTTCTTCTTTTTTTTGGGGGGGGGGGTTACAGAGTTCTATGTTATATTTTTAGATTATACAAGAGAAATAAATAATTATTACTACAGTGTCTTATAATCTGGCTATGCCATAATGTGGTTCAGGCCTTATGATATAATTTTATTATTAAAGTTTGAGTAGATTACTTAAGAAAAATGCAGTATTTGAGGTCTGCAAAAATTAATGAGCTTTCCAATTACATCTCTTTCCTGGAAATGACTGGGGCATTAGGGGATAATTTTCACTAATGTGTGAGAAATGGCCAAAAAGCATAAAGAAATATATTACATTACCATGTGCATTTAAACTTTGCCGGGATGGTTTGATACTACAGGTTACCAGCTGACATCGGCTGAGTGTTACGATCTTCGGAGCAACCGTGTGGTTGCTGATCAATACTGTCACTATTACCCAGAAAACGTCAAACCCAAGCCCAAGCTTCAGGAGTGCAACTTGGATCCTTGTCCAGCCAGGTCAGTCCAATTTAGTAGTTCTATTTATCATAAACATAAATTAAATTTCAAGTAAGCTTATTGAAATGAAAAGGTTTAATACAAAATAAAGAAGCATTGCTGTCGAATGCCCCTTCATAATCACGTTCCCAAAACCCTACTCCTTGCTTTTGTTGCTGTATGAGGCGCTCAGGGGCTGTGGACTTTCTTTCTCTAAAGCAGTAGGTGAAGAACTCTTGACAGTCCTTTTCTTTTCTGACTTGTTTTCACTCTGGTTCCCTGCTTCTGTCCTTAACAGGCCAATAAAGTACTCAACAGTCTTAACCAGTGCGATGGCACAATGTCCTCAGAACTCTATTGACATCATCAGAACAGACTATATTTCAGGGTCACGGCTGATCCATTCTAGCCTGTAGATAGTCCATACTAATTAGAGTCAAAACCAGCCTTAGAATGGTCCTGCTACTTTTGAACAAGCACAGCCTTTGCTAAAGAGAAAATAGAACTTCTTTTCAATAGTGAGATTTTTTTAAGTTTATTTATTTATTTGTTACAAGAGAAAGGAAAGCAAGTGACTTCAAAATACTCTCACACCACTATCCCACCCAGCTGCTCAGCCTCCCAGCCAGCCAGGATCATGGGCATGTACACACATGCCTAGAATGTTCAAATCAACCTGGAGTCCAAAAGCGCGTCTTCTGTATGGCTCCAGCATTGTGGTGCATCACTCTACCTCCATGGCCAGATCAGTAGTCAGATTCTTCTAAACATCTTTTTAATTAGAACCTTTAAAGAGACACGATGTTTTCATGAATCATTGTTTGCTTTTTGGAAACTATAACTGGACCTCAAATTATTTGCAAGATCAAGCATCACACTGAAGAATGAAATAGCTCAGATAATGCGTAGTAATAGGAGTGAGGTCAAGAATTTTTCTGTGGGTGTAATACTTGCCTTTGCAATCCCAGCACTTCTTGGTGACTTTCTTAGCACTTAGCTTAGCTATCCTCAACTAATGAGAGAGTAAGTAAGAAAATTCTTCCCCTATAAAAGCAATTATAAAGTCCAAAATGTAACGATTCTTTTTCCTAATTCCTTGAATGTCTTAAAAACATCTCAATGTTATTTTTAAATAACAGTTTACTAACTATGTATGCATTATAAGAAGGCTTTATGTAGTTAAAATATAATACACCATTGGCAATGTGGATGCAAATCATTGGCTTCTAATGGGTTGTAAACAAATGCAGTTTTAGTTTCTGCTTTCTGTTATTAACTTTTAAATGTTTGTATTCTTATACTCTTTTCACATTATATTCATGAATTATAAATTCTACATCTGATGCAAAATGTATTAATTTAGCTTCATAGTATTACCAGATAATTATGTATTAAAAATTGAGTGTGATAAAAAAACTAAATACACTGTTAAGTTTTGCTTAGATTTCTTTATTTTGGAAATATAATATAAAGTGTTCAAAGTATTTTTTAGCCAAGATAATTATAATCCATAGAATTCAACTCTATTTTAGAATTCTGCTTATTTATTTTTATACCTACCTCTAATGGTAAGACCAGTTTGTGAAAAGTACAGTTATCTAAGTTCAGATAGGTCAATTAAGTTAAAAAGAGCCTGAAAGGCTTACACATTTGCTTGGAAATGTGTGTATCTATCTCTAGGTGAGGGATTCATCTCCCACAACTCTGTAATGTTTTCCTTCACTAGGGAAACACTTTGGTAAAGAAATGGTCATGAAAATCAGTTAAGAATTGGAAGCATTTTGTTAGCAATTTGAAGAAAATATTTATTATCAGAGAAATTTACTCATTCTTCTGCCCTCTAATTTTTAACCAGTCCTCCCTGTTGGAGTAACATTTTTGGCCTATTTCTGATTTCCAAAACCAAAAATCCATCCCACATCAAAATCTGCTGTGTCATCTACACTTTTTCTATGTCCTGTATAGTCTACAATGTCTAATTCAAACATATGAATGCTAGGACAGGTGGATTTTATTTTAAAAAGGGAAAAAAAGAAAAGTGGAAAAAAGGCAAAAAGAAATATTAGGTCATTGGGAAAATCATGACATACTTTGCTATGCAAAGTGAGTCATGATTTTTCTAATGACCCACAATAAGTTAGAGGCGAGCATCAAGAGGATACATTTCTATTGAGGAAGTAATTAGGCAAAGCTTTAGAAATTAAGGCTTACCAGTAGAAGAAATTTAAAGGAATATTGCTTTAAAAAATGTAAGTATGTTACTATGAGGTTAAGATACTTCAGAAATTGCTGTGAAATTCACAGAACTCTTTTACATACCAGTGATCAAAGCAATCTTTCTGAATTCCAAGAGAAAATGAGAAATGATGGTCCAGAAAAGGAGACGGAAGATGCTGTAAAATAGGTCTGCTCTCCCATCAGACATCACCAAATCAAACCCTCAAGGAACTGTTTTCTAACTACATATTTAATTGTCTAATATAAAATTAGGAGTGACATACTGACATTAAACCGATGTTCTGTGTCCAAAATCGGAAACTAAAAATGGAAAATACAGATGTTTTTAGTACAAAGTCATGTATTTTTGAATTTCAAAAGAAATTTATTATTTCCTTTGAGATATTTATGCATTTTCCTGTAATCACTCTAGCATTTTGGGTCTATTACAGTATTTAAAAACAAAATCCCATTCATGTAGCCACCTTTATTCTATAATAAGAATTTTCTTATTACTACACATCTAAAACCACAACTAATTGTGACCATCAGTAGCCAAAGTTCCTGGTTCCCACTTTTTATGTTTACCAGATAGCTTCACTATATATTGCATAAGTAAAAGTTATACATTTGAACTAATCAACTAAAATTTTAATCATAAATATTATGCCATTTTGCTTTTATACACAACAATTATAAGGTCTTTCAATAACCAAAATATTTCTAAATCACTACTTATGAATGTGTCAATGTCCCCTTAAATTTCAAACTCAAGACTATAAGTCATTATTTTAGTTTTAGAAAGTTCACTACAGCTTACTAAATACATTACCAACTTCTAAGAATTGTCTTAAATTAATAAGGATCTGGGATAGGCACATAGCCTGTGTGGCATGGAAGGGACTTAGGAATTTGTCACTTCTATTCATTATTTATTTATTTATTTATGGAGAGGTTTTTTTGTTTTGTTTTTCTAGAAAGTGCATACACTCACTAGAGAGACAGAGAGACAGAGAGAGAGAAATCACCCCCCAAAGGGGAATGGCCATGCCACAATCCCTTTTCCTCCACTCTCTTCTTGAGATTTTGGGCATGCACACACAAGTCCGATATGAGTTTCAGGTCGCCAGGTCTAGGACTTAAACCTTGGCCAAGCATGTGGGGGGGTCCAGTAACAAAACCATTACACCATCTGCTGGCCCCTTATCTTACTCCTTACTCTCTATTTCTTTTTGGTTCTCAGTCTCTCTTCCTTTTGTCAACTTCTGTCATTGCTTTCCCATCCCATTTTTTTGTTCCACTTTCCTTTTTCTGCTTATTTTCCCTCTTTCTTATGCTCACCATTGATATTCATTGGCATCCATGTTTGTAACTTAGTTCATCCAGTGGTTCTTGAGGCCAAAGAGATTGTTGACATCTAGCCTATTCTGTTCAAAATAATTTTTATGTTTTTTTTTTTTTTTGCTTTAGTCTGATTCTAAAAGCTAACTTAGAAATATTGGTAAGTTAAAGCTATAATGAAAACAACAGAACTCACTAATAACCCCAATGCCCACAGATAACCACTGTTAATGCTTTTGCTTGCTTTCTTCCTAGTCCTGTCTGTAGCTCATAATACAGATGATATCATGCTCTCTATGGCAGACACTTGGAATTAAATGATTTAGCATTCTTGGTTTCTGTTCTTCTAAAGGCAAACCTGAATGCCCACGACATGTAGTAACTTTTCATTTTGCTGAGGCAGAAATTTAAGTCACTTGCACTATAAGACCACAATTGAGCCCCACTGCCCAGCAGTTTCATCCCAAGAGGGCTTTGTTGCTCTCTCCTGTTGTCATTCATGCAGTCGTTTTTATGAAGTGATAAAATACTTTGTTTCCTAGCCAAAAGCGGTCTCAAAAAAGGAGCCAAAACCTAATGCTTATAAGGAAAGTGAAGAGAAAGTGAAGTATAAAGATTTAATGACTTTTAGCTAAAATTAATAATGTTTTTTATTGGCGACTCTGAACTATGACATCACTGGGCCCATCGTATGTTCTATACACAGTATATTATACGTTCTGGTGGAAGTCCTAACTTAGGCACTCCCAGAAGTCTAAAGACATAGCTCTCAGCATGTCAGGGATCTACTACATATTTAACTTGTTTTCAGCTTTATATGTTTAACACTATGTTATGAGCCTTTCCCATGTAACTAATCAAATGTAAATCCTCTCACTTGCTACCATGCTGTAATTACAGTGCTGTCTTACACCAGGGAAAATATTTTTGGAATTCGTGCAGTGGTTTGTGCCATTTCTATCTCTTAGAAGAAGGATCAGGTTTATCAAGCGGCCTGAAAACCTTTAAGTGTGTGCCTATGGCTCAAGAATAACTAAAAAGACTCATTTTAGTTCTGCAATAAGCACTTCATGTGTTCAGAGCAGCTTCCACTGTGATATATGCAACATTTGCCCTTCTGTGTCTTCGTCTGAGCCTGGTCAGACTGTGAAGGCTGTCTAGGGGAAGTTGTGCATGACACTGCTTGTGGGAAGATCAGAGAGCCACCTTTTTAGATTTTTTTGGCACAGACCTCGCATTGGGTCTTACGTTGGCAGGAGCTAAACAAGTGAAAAAAGCTCTCACTCATCACACTATCACAGTCACAATCATTGGCACACAAGTCTGTTTCTAGCTGAAACTGTATCCAGATTCCCTCTTCCCTCAAGGTATTCAGAACAACAATCCTAAGAGAATGCCCAAACTTGTATGCCCCAAGAGGCAGTGCTTGGTGCGTTCATGCGGACTTTCTTTTTTGTCCAGTT